ATATATGTATATAAAAATATATGTAGTATTCATAACTACACTCTGTTGCAGGTGAAAAGCAATCCAAAAGTAACAGAAAAATTAAAAATTCAATACTTTGAAAAGTTAAAGACAGTAGCAATTTTCACAGAGACATGGGATTTTTTTTAATAATGAAAAATTGTACTGCCAGAATAGTTGCTTTTAAATACAGATTATATGGCTACTTAAAAGTCACAGGTGCACAAACGTCAACTGACATAATTTGTCATATTTAAAGAAGTTATTCGATATCATGTAACAACTTAAATATATTTATTTTGTGCCCGTCAGATGGTCATTAGATTGAACATTTGTAATCCAAGCTGCTCTGCACCACTGTAGCAACTGTTGACTTATCATTTTTAATCATCATCATCAATAAATTTAATATTTTCAAATAAGAATGAGAATTTCTCTACATATTTGTGTATGCCGAAAAAAAGAGGGTCATACCTTTATTTAAATTATCATCTTGAATAAGTAATTTTTTCCCCAAAACATTTTAATGCGAATTTTAACTTTTTTTTAAAGGAAAAGTTTTTTTTTAAATTGTTGTCTGACTTGTCTTTTCATTCTGATTCTCAAACAAAGTGCTGTGAATCAAATTTTTTTCTTGTAATGTTTTTCGCTTGTGTTATTACATATAAAAAAAATTTCTGAGTGTGTCAGTACAGTAGATTGCATTTTGAAAAGAAGGTGGGATTATTTCTTCATTTTCTTCTTCATCTCCACTACTTAAATCCTTGTATAGTGAAATGTTTTCAATGATTTCTTCAACAGTGCAGAAGTCTGACATCTTTACATTGGCATTACAGTTTGTGTATTACTCAATTGTAATATCTAATCCCAGTAGTTTCCAATTTTCTTCATCCATAATCAGTTTCATTATTTTCATTGTCAACACTTTCACTTAACCTTGGGTTAAAAAAATACCCCTTTAATGAAGCACTTTTTAATTGTGGATTTACTTGAGCAGATTAAACTTGGCAAGTAAAATCAGATTCATAGTTTCAAGAATATTTAAATTTTTCTGTGTATTTCATATTGTTATATTTTGAAGGGCAATTATATTTAACCTTTGCCTGTAGAACATTTTCAAGTTCATAATGACACCAAGATCTAATGGTGATTACTGGGAAGAAAACTGGGAAGAAAAACAACTTGAACATTTTGCAGGAAATCTATCATTTAAGGATGGCTGGTACATTCATCCATAAAAAGTAAAATTTTGCAGTTTTATCTCTTCATAGTTTTGACTATTTTCTTCAGCCATCATGTAAAAATGTCCGTAAGAAATCCATGCTTTCTTATTTGTTTTATGTTCTAATGGCAAATTTTTAACATGTTTGAAGCACCTTGTTTTTTGTGACTTTCCTATACGTAAAGGAATTATTTTTTCTGTACCATCAGCATTTACACAAAGTAAAATAATAAAACGGACTTTTGCTTAGCTACATGATACTGGCCATGTTTGAAAGCTAGGATTCTTGCAAGCATGAGTTTAAATAAATGAGTATAATAATGAGCTTTTAAATCATCAACATTAAAAATACCTTTTAATTCATATCCATCTATTTTGGTGAATAAATTCTTGAACCATCTTCAACCAATTTAGCAGGAACGCTTTTTATTTTCCATAAATGATATTAGATTCTATGTTTATATGACATTAGATTCTATGCTGCATTTTTAAATTATGCAGCCACTGAAAGCAAGTTCCTTTCAGATTCAATTGAAGCGCTATTTCTTTTAACTACTTAACATGAGGTTAACATCTTTTAACTACTTAACACTAGAATACTGGATGCATGACAGTGGATGAAAAATTTTAGCAAAATGCCAACCTCGGCAAACCTTTCTTCTTGAACGTTAAAAAAGTAACAGAATAATTCAATAAAACTCATTTTATATGCATAATTATCATATTTAATATAATTGTGTAAGCAATTTATTTAAGTAAATTGCATCTATTTAAATAATATATATAAATACAGTCAAAAGTCGTTAATCCGGACTCATCGGGACTTCGGCGATTCCGGATTATCGATCATCAGTTTAAATCTGATAAGATGGCATGCAGAAATTATAAAATTAAAAATATGAAACCATAATTTGAAATAAAGAACATTATGATCTAAAGGGTATCAAAATTTACAAAAAAAAAAAAAAAAAAAAAGCTTAATATTATTGTTTACTTTATTAAACATTTCTTTCAATGTAAGTTGCTTAAGTTGCTTCGTTTTATGTGATAATACTTTCTCTTTAATTCTATAAACAGACATAATTTCTTGTTCAGTTACAAAGTTCCGCTGCTCAAGTCCTATAATTGCTGTGTCGAGAATACCGACTAATTTGTCAATCGAAATTTTTTCGTTTTCAATAACCTCTGTGTCACTTTTTTCACTATCGGAAGCGAATTATAATGACGAGGAACTTGATTTAAATCATATCAGAGACGGAGTACATCGAGATGAAATACTACATTTAGTAAGGAATTATAAGCCAAATAAAATAAAAACATCTGCCCTGAAGATAAAGATAGTGCTGACAGATCAACTTCCAATTCATTGTGCACCGCGTCGTTCCCCCTCCGCGCCGCAGAGCAGCGTGAAATTGATAAACAGATTTCGGAATGGTTAAGAAACAAAGGATATGCCTTTATTCATTTTTTGCAGCAATTCCACTTTTTGTTTGATGAACATCGAAACATACTTTCGCTTTGTAGATCCTTTGGGAGCTCCAGCATGGGAAATTCTTATTTGACATAATCGAAAGTTCAAGCTTACTTTTATAAAACTGCTCTAACAGTCTGTAAAAAATAATAAGCCAGATCCAATTCGGAGATTAAGGAACAACGCAATCTGCAACATTAACTGAAATAGATAATTAGATAATTTTAGCTTAGCTTAGCTTATACCGTCCATTATACATTAAACGTGCATTCGTAAACGTATTTTGAGCATGTGCACACGCATATGCGCAGCCGTAAAGGTCTTACGCATGCGTCTGCGCGATGCATGCGCAGAAAGTTTGTAGCTTTGAGGTCCGGATTATGGGTGTCCGAATTAACGACTTTTGACTGTGTGTCAGAAAATTCCATTTGTTATTTTATTTAAAATTTTGTTAGTAATTTTAAAAAAAATATGCATAAACATACTGGAAAATTAATTTTTAAAGAATCTTTTTCTACTGATGGGAGATTGAAAATAGTCAGCATATTAGATTGAAAAGAATAAGCATAATGAGTATTTTACAGTGCAAAACTGCGATACTGACATAATGCTATCACAAAAAATTGTTTGAATGTTAACTGTTTGTTTCTCAAACATGCACAGATCGGTAACCGTTTGTTTTTGGCCAGTGCTAAAACATGCGAAATTCACTTTCTTGCCAAGGCCATTATAGAGACCAAATGCTGTGAAGTGTACTAAATTATTTAACAAATAATCGTGTGAGATTACTTTCTGGTCTCCCAGCTTAGACAGAACCAGCTGGATTAATGTCATTTCAGGCATCCTGTAAATTATCACACTAGAAATTATATCTTTGACAATGAGTTCAGCATCTCTTTCAGAGTTGAAAATCATCACAACGTGATAGTGCTAGATGAATGGCAATTATTTTCAGCTTAAAAGACATCTTTTGGAATAGCTGATAAGCTCAGGTTTTTGATGCAAAGCAGTTTGATGACTTGCATGGATGCTGACAACATTCTGTAACTGATTTATATTGCCTGTGCTCTGAAGCTATCCAGGCATCATTTCATAACAAGACAACAGAGCATGACTTTCTCACTAATGTCTTTGACCAATTTCATTTTATTCCATAGCCATCTGGATTCCCTAACCTATCACAGATTGAATGCATCTTGAACATGCTGAGAAAGCAATTGCAGCCTTCTTCAATTGCCAATGAATTAACTGACTGGTTATAAAGTTTGTGGCATAATCTGCAGAGGAATATAATCACTTTTGGTCCATAATTTTAATTATTTATGCAGGATGTTCCCATCAAGTCCCCCAAAGTCTGCACAATCAGATTCTTCACTTGAAATACATAAAGAAAGAAAGAAAGAAAAAGAAATACCCAAAAATCTGTACTTGTATAACTTGTAGTTTTCAAGATAATGTGAAAAAGAATAAGTGTAACATCATATCTGGTGCAAGGGGGGAAAAGACACGTTTATTGTGCATATGGAGAGATGCATGCACACACTATTGAATTGCTGACTGCATACATTGCAGCAGCATGTTCTCTACCCAAGTATATGCTGCATGAAGGCAAACAACTAAGTAACTTTCCATGGTAACTAGGTTTCAAGAGACCAGTTCATTCAGTTGATTTAGGAATAAATCCAAAGGTGTCAGATCTGTTGATCATGGTAGCTATAAAACCAGACCACCATGCCCAATCCGTTGGCCTGAGTATTCCGTATCCAGTCAATCACGTGTAGAAGCACTGAAATGTGCTGAAGCTCCATCATGCTGAAAGCCATGTATTGATGCTAGAGGTATGCCATCTATGAAATTGGTTAATTCTACGGCATGTGTATGCATGCCTTGATATATGCAGTGGACATATTGAACATCTTCCCATGCAATCATATGCATATACCAATGCTCATGTAGCCACTTAAGTTTTTTCTTGCACCAGGTATGACATCATACTTTTCTTTTGTATTTATCTCAAGAACTATGTGTTGCACAAGTACAGTTCTTTAGACACTTTTAATGTATTAAGCAAGGAATCTGGGCGTGCAGAGTTTGAGTGGTCTTGATGGGACACCCGGTATGTCTCCACAATATAGATGATATATTCACACATTACCAAGCTTCGTGAATGTAACTTTTTTTGTGTGTGAAAAAGAGTTTTTTCTGGCAGATACCCTGTATATTTTACATTTTACTTATTTTTTTATTAAAAGTACTGTTCTTTTCTACATTAAAATCAAAATGTAGCTATGCAAATTATTCTTTTAGATCTCAGACAAGATATGCTCACGTTGCAAGTAATTCGGATTATGGATCACATATGGCAAAATGAAGGTTTAGATCTTAGGTAAGATGTAATATTTAGATATTCATTTACAAGTGAAACAAAAATTTTTTACTGAAAATACACTGTTGAGTAAAAATTAGGGTATAATACAATATGTAACAAAAGCAGACGTAAAACCCATGAAATTTACTCAAGAAAATGGTAAATATGAAACTGACATGAAATATAAGAGAAAGGAGAAAAATATGTTTTAAAGTCTTGTACTTCTGTACATATGTATACACTTTCAGCTTCACAGAACAAGCTGAAAATATGGAACATTAAAAAGAAATTATATAAAGGGAAAAAAAACTTTGAGTAGGATGTTATTAGATGCCCATAATTTACTATAAACAAAGTCCATGTCTTAAGAAGTAAAGATCCAGGATAATTAATCTTATTCATATCTTTCGAAAAATGTAGAAATCATTGTAATAATTAACTGTTGGCAAGATTAATTTGTTTGTTATATCCTCAGAATCATTCCTTGGATTTAAATGCCATTTAAAGTTAACTTTTGAATTACACGAGAGTTAGGAATGTTAGCATTCACAGAGCAGTTACAAATTCATGTTTAATATGTCTTCTCTCATTTCTCATACTGTATTGGAATGAAAAAACAAGCTAAAGATATGCAAATATTATCAGCAATGTACAGCATTTGAAGTGGTAGTAATGTAACTACAGTTATTTTTAAGCAAATAATTATCTTTACATCTGTCTGATTTTTTTTTTTTTTTTAAGTAGAGCTTTTTATTTTAAGGTAATTAATGATAAAATACACTGGTATCTAGGTATATATTTTATGCATTCATAACATACCCAAAATTTTAATTTTTTAAGTATTTGCGGATTATGTGGTTCACATGCCAGATTTTCTAAATTGCTTAGATATTCTGCTTCCCGGTAAGAAGTACATGTACTGGGGGGCGAAGTCATGATATAAGCTTACACACTTTTAGTGTGAGTTGTGTATACATTCTACAAACGTATCTTCTAGCATAGGCATACCAAACTTAGAACTTCATGTGTGCCAAGCAGTCATCAGGGTACAAATAGTACAGGGCACAAGGGAGGGAAAACCCATTTTTATACTTTATGAGGTATTTAAAAAGTAAGTTGGTTGCAGGAAATCTAGATATCTGGAGACATGCTGCTTAATGAGCAATTTTCAGAAGAGAGGTCAGGTGAATGAATGTTAATTTGGATCTCACTGGGAGATTTGTTTCTTTTCATTACTTACAAAAGTTATTCACACTGGTACATCCTACCATATCTAATTCTATCTTAAACAGGCTAAGTAGTTTTGTAAACAGACCATTTCAAGAATTCTTTTTAGCATCTAAAATTGTGTATTCATTTCAATATTCAGTGAAATTAAAATTTTTATTAATATTTTGAATACAGTCAAAAGTCGTTAATCCGGACTCGTCGGGACTTCGGCGATTCCGGATTATCGATTTTTCCGGATTATAGGTCATCAGTTTAAATCTGGTAAGATGGCATGCAGAAATTATAAAATTAAAAATATAAAACCGTAATTTATGAAAAAAAAAACAATTATGATCTAAAGGGTATCAAAATTTATAAAAAAAAAAGCTTAATATTTATTTGTTTACTTTATTAAACATTTCTTTCAATGTAAGTTGTTTAAGTTGCTTCGTTTTTTATGTGATAATACATTATCTTGAATTCTATAAACAGACATAATTTCTTGTACAAAGTTCCGCTGTTCAAGTCCTATAATTGCTGTGTCAAGAATACCGACTAATTTGTCAATAGAAATTTTTTCGTTTTCAATAACCTCTGTCACTTTCTTCGCTATCGGAAGCAAATTATAATGACGAGGAATTTGATTTAAATCATATCAAAGACGGAGTACATCGAGATGAAATACTACATGTAGTAAGGAATTATAAGCCAAATAAAATAAAAACATCTGCCCTGAAGATAAGGATAGGGCTGACAGATCAACTTCCAATTCATTGCACGCCCTGGTGGCGTTAAAGATAAACAAAGTTTAGATAAACAAACGTTAAAGTTTAGATAAACAAAGGATATGCCTTTATCCATTTTTTGCAGCAATTCCACTTTTTGTTTAATTGACTCCGAAAGATACTTTCTCTTTGTATATCCTTTACATATTAGTAAATATATATCGGAAATTCTATTTGACATAATCGAAAGTTCAAGCTTACTTTTATAAAATTGCTCTAACAGTCTGCAAAAAATAATAATTCGGATCCAATTCGAAGATTAAGGAACAACGCAATCTGCAACATTAACTGAAATAGATAATTAGATAATTTTAGCTTAGCTTATCCCATCCGTTATACATTAAACGCGCATTCGTAAAAGTATTTTGCGCACACGCAAATTCGCAGCGGTAAAGGTCTTACGCGCATAGCTTTGAGGTCCGGATTATGGGTGTCCAAATTAACGACTTTTGTCTGTATATGTTAATTTTCTGGAACGAACCAAGGGCTGCGAGTTTGGCATGCCTGTTCTAGCATATCTGTTATCAGTTCCCCCCTTTTAAATCTTTTGTAATAATGAAAGAATTTTAACCATAGCAGTATAAGATTTTAGAAAATCATTAGATTTCTTCTTTATATCTTTCTGCCCTTGCTAAAATTGTTCTGATTTCGAAGACATCAACACATTTCCTAATATTTATGTCTCTGACCAAAATTTAAAAATATACCAATATGAACCTTATAATCTGTATTATATTAGCCAATTATTTTTTTTAATTATATGATTAAAACAACATCTTTCCTTAGGTACCGATTTACTACAGCAATTAAATATTGCATTTTATTCATATCTTCTGTGTATTCTAATATTTAAAATGCAGCTAAACCTTCAAAACATGTCAGAATTCATAAATGCATTAATATTGCTTTATAACTTGTATCTTGATAAGATTCATGTGTTTTTATAGGATGATGCCTTATGCTTGCTTAGCTACTGGGAAAGAAGTAGGTATGATTGAAGTTGTAAGAAATGCAAAAACTGTGATGAACATCCAACGTAAAGGTGGAAGAATGGCTGCTTTTCAAGTTGATTCGACTCAGCTTTATAAATATATCAAAGAAAAGAATAAAGGCAATAAGTGAGTATAATTTATTTTTACAGTTTTCTTTTCTCCTCATTACTTGTTATTTACACGAAAAATTCTCTTGGTAGATATGATCAAGCAATTGAAACATTCACTCATTCTTGTGCTGGCTATTGTGTTGCTACCTTTATTCTTGGAATAGGAGATAGAAATCCAGACAATATCATGATTAATGAAGAAGGCCAGGTTAAATTTTAAAAAAATATATATTTTTAAATAAATTTTGCTCAATTTCTGTTCGTGATACTAAAATTTCTTTTAAATAGATATTTCATATTGATTTTGGACACTTTTTGGGACATTTTAAAAAGAAATTTGGCATCAACCGTGAAAGAGTTCCATTTGTGCTCACAGAGGACTTTCTGTACGTCATTGCCAAAGGTGCAGAAAATCCAAAAAAAAGTCGAGAGTTTCAAACGTAAGAAATGTTTCCGTCAAGTTATTTTTAAATTATGAAATTTTAATACTTGTATCTAAATTACTATGCATTTTTATTAACAGATTCCAACAGTTATGTGGTAAAGCATACCTCATGCTGAGACGACATGCAAACTTGCTCATCACTCTGTTCATTATGATGTTATCAACTGGAATTCCAGAACTTCAATCTATAGATGATGTAGGATATTTACGTAAAACTTTACAGGTGGAGAAAACAGAAAAGGAAGCACTTGAATATTTTCAGAACCAATTTTTTGAAGCTTATGGTGGTGCCTGGACTACAAAACTAGATTGGTTTTTTCATAGTGTCAAGCATTTGTAATAAGCTATGGACTATTTATTAACCACCATGTCAACTAGTCATTTTTCTGTTTTTGCTGAAAGAAAGATACGAATTATACATTAATAGTTTTTAAATAAAAATATAAAAATAAGTGAGTGATAATAGATCATTTTGAATATTCACATGACAACTGATAGGCTTGCAGCAAGAAGGGCCCAGCTTCACTTTGGTAGATTTTATGAACATCAAACATAACACATGCACAGATTATAAGGTTCTTTTTTGTTAAAAAAATTATTTGTTGCATTGGAGTAGCCGTAAGAAATCATTTTTATTAACACTTTTAACGAGGAAAAAAAATGTGGAGCTGGGCCTTTCTTGCTGCCACTTACCCAGGAAATTCCAATTACAGTATGACGACAGTTATGCAAGACATAATGGTTATCCATTTTGAAAGTAATATACAATGAAACTCCAAATATTTTAACATAATCAATCTTTTTTGCAACACTCGTGCCCACCAGCGGCCAAGCGGTAAACTCGCTGAATACTCGTAGTTCGGTCCGAGGTTCAAATCCCATGAATAGGCTGGTTGCATGGGCATTTTTTATGGTTTTCCCACACGTAATGTGTATACGAGCCAGTTTCCCTTAGAAAGTCCTCCACAAAGGCATCCCTTGAGGCTTTGCCAGAATTTAATAAACCAATTGGCAACACTTATTCATTTGCATACACGTGACATACACTTTCCTACTATACTTTGCATGCATTTGCTACAGTTACTTGTGAAATGCTATGTCTGCTAAATGTTCACCTCATTTAGCAATGCACTGCACAAAATGATTTTTAAAAAAATCATTTTCCATAACATGGTCAAACATATCTGAAGTTATGCGCTTAGTTTCCTCCCTGATTCTTTCCTTCAGTTATTGCATACTTCCCACTCTGGTTGCCTACAGCTTCAAGTGTCCCTAAAGGAAGAAATCTGAAGTACTTAAAGCACCTAGTACTAGTAACTGATGAAATGCAGAAGTTTTCATTTATGCAGTGTACCCAACTCTCCATTTTCAAAGAGAGTTAAAGTGGTGGACATAAGTTTTTACAAATAAGTATAGCAAATGCATCCAAAGCACAGCTGCAGGGCCTATGTAAATGGACGTGTAGCTAGAAAGATATATAAAATATCAGGAATTTCATTGTCGCTAAGGCCAAAACACTTTTAAAATGTATAGTCAAAAATGTTTTCTATCCTGTACCCTATATATAAATAATATATTTGTATTTTCTATTCCATTTATACCTGCTTAGAAGGAAAATGTAACTATTATAAAGGAAAAATGTTTATAGTTTTCCTATACAAGTGAGTCAAAAATACAGCTAAACATTTTAGATAAATGTAGTGTGTTACTATATATTGTACACAAAAAATGATGAATGGTACATTAATTTTTTCCCCTATTTCAAATGAGAGTCATGTGCCTGAGTTTATATCATAAGGGAAGATAAGATGCCTGAGAAATGTGCACCAGCAAGTTAGAATTGCAATATAGGCAGTTCCATTCCAAAATAATAATCAGGTTGCAAGAGTGAAAAGATAAGATTTTAATATGGCAATAACTGCCAACCTTGAAATCTTAAAAATCAGGATGTTTTTCACACTGTGCAACAACATCATTTAATTGGATATTCTAAATTTATGTTCTTTGGCTAATTTAATTTTTGAATTATCTTGTACTACTCAGTAAATCCCGAGTAGTGAAAGAAAGCTTTTGTTCATTAAAGTACTCTTAAATGGGATTAAAAGGAAACTAATAATTAACATAAACAGTATTTGTGTGAATAAACTTTGTAATGTACACCAAGTCAAAAAATAAAATATTGACTAATTGTTACATATGTTCCAAATGGCTGCTGGGTTTAGATGAGTATAAGATATTTAATGTTTCTTAATTTTTATTTAATTAAGTGTGTGTTTAATTTTTATTTTGATTAAGTGTTCTTTTTATTTATTTTACATGCTATTTTGTTACTTAAAAGAATGAAAGTTTAGGGAAGTTTGGAGAAAATTAAAATGAAACTAACAGTAGCATATTAATTATTTATTTCTTAAAATTATTCCTCAATACGTTGCAGAATAGTTGAAACTTTATGTAAAATTGGTCGATGATAAGAAAAATAACATAGTTCAGCATTGATGTTTCTTGTGAAAGTAATTTATTATTGGCAACAGTAGAAGAAATTAAAGCACCTTGATTTATTTGAAAACTAACAACTTTGGTTCACTTTATTTTCTTCTTATTAGCTTTACAATACTTCTTGTTGCATTCCTTTCCTTTTTAAAGCTAAATGTTCTTTATTATCTTTCAATAAACCTTTCCTTTATTTTTCTACATGTCTCTTACACTATATTATTTAATGCATCTTTATTTCTTGGCATTTTATATTATTTTTGTACGAACAAATTCAGAACGTTGCTCTCACAGTTGCTCGTCAACTCCAACATAGAACTGAAGGGTGTTATAACCTAACTCGAACATGTGCCCTTGTGACATCAAAATATTGTGTATTTTTGCCTGAATTTATTGTGGCTCATCCAATATTCCAATTTCTAAAATTTGTTTCGTGTTTTGTAATGGTCTCCTTTGACTCTCAAATAAGCCATAAATGAAAACTACACCTTTTGGGGTGAGATGTAAGCATTCTACTAACATGTTCTGTGTCTTAAAATTTTATATTCCTGAGACTGTCTGAAAAAGTACGTTAAAATAAGGGGGGTAACATCTCTCGTTCTACTTCGCTCATTGATGAAATTCAGCTTGCATTTTTAATGTCCCGAAAGTGTGACTTAAGATATATTTATATAAAGCATTATTCTAGCATAGATATTTTGACACCAGATTGGGCTTTTTCTGAAATGACATACAGTCAAAAGTCGTTAATTCGGACACCCATAATCCGGAATGATCTATAATCCGAACCTCAAAGCTACAAACAAGCGTCGCGTTGACGCATGCGCATAAGACTTTACCGCTGCGAATTTGTGTGTGCAAAATACGTTTATGAATGCGCGTTTAATGTATAACGGACGGGATAAGCTAAGCTAAAATTATCTAATTATCTATTTCAAATAATGTTGCAGATTGCGTTGTTCCTTAATCTTCGAATTGGATCCGGATTATTATTTTTTGCAGACTGTTAGAGCAATTTTATAAAAGTAAGCTTGAACTTTCGATTATGTCAAATAGAATTTCCGATATATATTTACTAATATGTAAAGGATATACAAAGCGAAAGTATCTTTCGGAGTCCATTAAACAAAAAGTGGAATTGCTGCAAAAAATGGATAAAGGCATATCCTTTGTTTATCTAAACTTTGTTTATCTTTAATGCCACCAGGGCGTGCAATGAATTGGAAGTTGATCTGTCAGCACTATCCTTATCTTAAGGGCAGATGTTTTTATTTTATTTGGCTTATAATTGCTTACTCAATGTAGTATTTCATCTCAATGTACTCCGTCTTTGATATGATTTAAATCAAATGCCTCGTCATTATAATTCGCTTCCGATAGCGAAGAAAGTGACAGAGTTTATTGAAAACGAAAAAATTTCGATTGACAAATTAGTCGGTATTCTCGACACAGCAATTATAGGACTTGAACAGCGGAACTTTGTAACTGAACAAGAAATTATGTCTGTTTATAGAATTAAAAAGAATGTATTATCACATAAAAAAACGAAGCAACTTAAACAACTTACATTGAAAGAAATGTTTAATAAAGTAAACAAATAAATATTAAGCTTTTTTTTTTTTTTTTTTTTTTTTTTTTTTGTAATTTTTTGATACCCTTTAGATCATAATTGTTCTTTATTTCGTAAATTACGGTTTCATATTTTTAATTTTATAATTTCTGCATGCCATTTTACCAGATTTAACTGATGATCTATAATCCGGAAAAATCGATAATTCAGAATCGCCGAAGTCCGGATTAACGACTTTTAACTGTACTGATTTTTTTCCTTCTTTCGATTCAAACTGTGCCAAGTTTTAAAAAATTAGATTTCAAAATTTTAGCTCCTCTTAGTTAATTAAATATGGTATATATTTATTAATATATCTTTTTTTTTTTTTTTTTTTTTTTTTTTTTTTTTTTTTTTTTAAACTTACTTGATTCCTTTTTTCAGAATTCAAAATTTAAGTGTAATCCAAATAAAATTGCACCTTTTTTTATGATTTATTTTTTAAATTTGTATTTTAAAATAATTTTTTCAAAAAAAATTAAATAACCTATAACATTTTTATTACCATCTTAAAGTAGATGTATTTCTAGGCATACTTGCCAAAAATTAAAGTTTTTTAATTCAAAATTTCCAAGATAAACGTGAATTTATATATTGGCTTGAATTCCACATATTTATTATTAAGTGATGATAACATCAGATGTGGTTAGTACACTTTGTTATAATCTTCAGTAAATTGCAATGCTTACTTTGAACCATAAATTTCAAAAAAAAAAAAAAAAAAAAAAAAAAAAAAAAAAAAATTCTTCTCATTAATTAGAGAATTCTTAAAAAAAAAAAATTAATTTTATTAAGCAAGAACATTTTATTAACAATGCTTAATAATTATTTATTAATAATAGACAAAATGTTATTTTTTAAATTTACGAGGACTGTTAAAAGATTTTTTTCACAAGAGTAAATATTTACGTTAGTCATTTTATTATATTCTTTCTAATTTTACAAACTAAAAGGAGTGGCTTTTGAAAAGACCATTTTTATGAGTTGTTCAACATTTTATGAATGTCATGCCCATGGCCGAAAAATAGTCATCACTTTTAGTAATTGATCTCCTCCATGCTTCTGCCAGCTAATGTAGAAGCAACCAATTAAAAATGACAGATTGAATACTACATTGTTACCAAAAATTTTAGGAAATAATTTCAGCACCATGAGTTCTGGAAAAAATAAAATCTAACTTTTCATAGAAGCCTGTTACAGTAAAAATTCCATTTAGATCCATATCTTTTAAATTTTAAAGAATTAAAGAGTAAAAAATTCAATATGTTTGCTTGCATATACTGGAGCATCCCCCCCCCAAAAAAAAATTATGATAGATCATTTTCCCATGCTTGTTACCAGTAAAAAGGATTTTTAGAACAATTTAGGGTGAAAATAAAAAATTTGCTTTGTTACAGAATTAATGTTACAGAGATCTTGAAAATATTTCTTAATCATATCTTTGTAGATTTTGCTTGTAAACATATTTAAAATTTTAATAAATTTAAGTACAATGACTAAATGGAATTTTTGCTCTAGAGGAATCATAAAATGCTCATTTTTAAATTTATTTAGTATTCGTAACATGAATGGTGAAACTGTTATCATAAAATATTCAGCTTTATTTTAAGAAACTAGGCATTTGGAAGTAAATTTCTTGAATTGACACTCAGGAAAATGCTTGTAACTTTCTTTCTTGAATTCTTGCATAAGTATCAGATGTTTTGAATAGCAACATTTTTTGGAAAAACATATAAACAAACATCGCCTATGTTAAAACATATAGAAATTTCACAAGTCGTAAACCAAAAATTTTATAACAAATTGAAGAAAAAATTAATTTTGTAACAAATTGAAAAAAGTTTTTAATTTTTTAAAAATTTTAAACTTCTGCTTAAACAACCCATAAGTACATATCAAAGACAAGAGATTGAATTGTATTACAAAAATAAACATTAGTTGAAATTTCTGGGGAAAAAATGCTTTAATAATTTAAGTCTTGTATGTAGACAAAGAATTGATTTATCAGTGGGTAAGGAATGATGACATTTCAAACAAGTAGAATTTTCACAATTAGCATAACATTGTTTATAAAAGCAATGTAAATGCATATCTAAGATATGAAAAATTTAATTTAAATTTTATCAGTTAATCAACAAGGTAAAAAATATAAAAATATTTTCAGTCAATATAAATATATCAACTCTACACCTATTTTAAAAGTCTTAATTATAAAAATTGATCACTTCTCGTCATTTTATTCAAGTTTACGCTATACAACCGAGAAACATTTTGTAGTATATTCAAGTGAAACACATTTAACAACTCGCCAACTTTACTGCTCAAATTTCTTCTATTAACTTGCTAATGACATTTTTTTTAAAGTGCATTTTAAATTTAATATTACTCTTTCTATGATTATTTTTATGACATTATTTTACCATGAAAAAAGCAAATATGAAAGAGAAATAATTTGGCCTCTATAAATATAAAATGTATATTTTGATTATTTTAGATAAATAATAATTCATAAAACTAATTTTTTCAAAATGATATATTTATTTATGGAGAATTTTGGTGCTCTCTCGTTTTCTTAAACCCCAGTTTTTTAACTTTACAAAGAATAGTGATAAAACAATGATAGTCTTGATGTAAACTACATAATTTGGCAAAATAAAGCATAGATGCTGTTTGTTTTGTCACTGTTGAAGTAAAGAATAGATGACTGTAAAATAAAAAATTTAGAGCAGATAGGTTTTGAATTAATTTTAAGATATGAATTCTAATTTTGTAAAATGATTACTCCTTTGTGTGATGTTGTTTATTTTGCGATAAATTTTAATATATCTTGTTGTATTCACTATTACTTACGATTCTCACATTTGAAAGCTGGAATGATGTTTACACTATCATTGATTATTAAATATGTTCATTCATCATGAGAAAAATTGTGAGTACGTGTTAATTATTGCATTTACTTTTTCCAAAAATATTGAAGATAAGAGACATAAGTAAACCACATTTTAATATATTTTCGTTTTTAACACTAACAATTTTTTATTTGTGAACAAATAAGGAAGATCATTCTTCCAAGAAAGAGGCATTTCAGACCGAAATGATAATCTTGGCCAGAATCATGGTGGGGCCAATGGCAAAGTACCAGAATTTTATAATACTATAAATATAATATTTACATTGGTACCTATATTAAAGAGACTGTTCTGAAATTCAAAGTAAAATACACAATTATTCATCTATATTAAAAAATTGAAATTAACTTACGTGACAAAATCATAATAATATTCATGCTGTAGTTGACGGAGATCTTCTATGGTACCACCAGTAAACCACAAACTTGTTACAATTACTCCACCAACTAGAAGACTGAAAGGACATATACATTAATACCTAATAAATTTTGAATACAATATATAAAAAAAAAACTGAATTTGCTTATGCACAGAGTGAATGAAATAATTTTTTTTATATTATATTTTTGTCTATATTTTCTTTTAAGTTTATTATATCATGCAGCTGCTTCAAAATATTTTTAAGGAAGGAATACTTGCAGAAATAAATTGTGCTTGAACTAATAGCAAATTAAAATAGTCTTAGAATTGAATTATATGATAAATGTGCAATTTATATATTGCACTTAAATACTTTTTAATAGTAATAGAAAATTCAGAAAGGTTTTTTTTTTTTTTTTTTTTCCCCTTAAAAGTTTTTTGTTTAAACTATACTTCAAAGATTAACAAGCAATTAAATCCTCTCACAGTATAACCTCAGAAAGTTGCGTTTGCTGTACCTCATTTATTACGAAAAATTAATTATCTCACGAAAAAGTATAAAAGTTGACTAGGGAATTACAAATAACTGATTAGCATTCTCAAATAATAATAATAAATAAGTAAATAAATAATCTGAAAGCTTTCAGACTTTATATTACGACCAAAGGCCAGTTTTATCATTTACATACACATTTCCACAGCATTTGGGTTAATGTTCCTTTGGGCAAAAAATACTTAGAAACAGGTCCGAATTGTCTTTGATATGTACTTATCATCTTTAGGATTTCCGATAAACAATTTCTAGCGCTAAAAATAAAAGTGTATTTTCCCCATATAATGTTGCCATTGCTTGCATTGAAATCATTGAGTTAATCAAAAATTTGTTAGTTTTACAGAATAAAACAAATTCAAAATTTGGGCTTTGAGGTGTCCATATTCGAGTGGAGGACTATGTTATTCAAAATTTGATGGCTCTAGGTACCATTGTTTTTGCATGAAATAAAAAACATGCATACATTCATGCGAATTCTTCATTATATAATTTCTTTAAATATAATATATAGGGCAGTAATATTTGGTGACAACAATTTGAAAAGTGATTCAGACTTTTATAGTGATTCCACACAAAATCTAATTTTGAGACTAATAGCCCTTCTGGGCTAATGCTCCTTTGGGATTAAAAGGAATATAATTCTAATTAAAAAAAGTAAAAACTGAAAGTTTTCAGACTGAACACAACCTTTTTTTTTTTTTTATTATTATTATTATTTCTGAGTCTTTTTAGCTTTCATTATTAAACACCAGTCTCTCTGCTTGTACACCAAATTACAGTAAAATCAGAAAATATTTAAAAGCAGCAATTTTCAGAATTCTCAATGCAATATTAATTGATGCCATATATTTTCCTATTTTTCAGTCTTTTTTTCTATGTTTATTGTATCACAGTCCAGTTTTCTTCACAAAATGACCTATACAACTTTTTATGTCTTTTTAAGTTTTTTTTTTTTTTTTTTTTTTTTTTTTTTCCACTTACACCACATAAAAGTCAATAGTAAAATCACAAAATATTTTAAAATAGCATATCTTTGGAGTTCCTGATGTAGTGTTAAGTGCTGCCATACATTTTTTACCCAGAACGGTTATTAGTCTCAAATCTAACTTTTGCGTCCAATAACTTTTGTTGTTCATTTCATTTTTCAAATGACTAGCCTCTAGAGCATGGCCAGCTGTTTAAAATAGTTACTATATAAAAGGGAAAAAATATCTAATGCTTTTAATAAATCTCACTAGTAATTAGTTCTTAGTTTTGTATTTTTTCTGTATGCAACACAGAAAAATTTAATAAATAAAAGAAAGTGCATGGCAGCATTGATTTTCATTATTTTCAACTTTTGTCCCACTTGTAGAGTTGTCATAGTTTATTTATTTTTAGTAAGTTCAATTTAGCATTTTATTCAACACATTAAAATTCCTTGAAGTAAATGTCAATCTGAAAGTTCAATATTTAAAAGTCAATATACTGAGTTATGAAGTGTAACCATCAGAAATTTCTTTCAGATGCCAATCTCTAAATTCCAGAAAGAAAATAAATATAAACTGGTATACTGCATTTGAGTCTGAAATGCAATGTGAGTGTGAAACCACTGCTTGGACTGACTGATTCCATATTTACATGAAGGCAATAAAATTTTTAACAACACAAGAAGCAGCGTGGCAGTATAAGAATCCACGATTATGATACACTATTATTTTCCTTCAATAAAACTCGAACACATGCTGCTGTCCATTCTTTTTCCCTTATTAACTTGAGAAATATTCTATACTTTTATCAGTATTTACATATTAGCACAACACTTAGGCAATTTCATGAATAGGAAAATGATGTATTCCTAAAAACATTTGCTGCAGATTCTTCTATTATAAAAAAATCTCATAAATGTATATTCTAAAATTGAGTTAAATACAAAATAAAAAATTTGCCTTCCAGTAAAATTTTTTTGGTATTTTAGGTATATGACTTGAAGGTATATGAAAGAAATGCCAACAATGCTTTTAATATAAAAAATTTTTAAAAAAAACTGAAAGGTTTCAAATTTTAAATTATGTCCAAAGGAGTGTTTTTTGTGTGTTACCTTTATTTATTAAATATCATGTTCTACATACTCAAACTATAAAATTCAGCTCAACAGCAATATCGCAAATTAATTTTTAAATGAGCATATCTTTAGAATTTTCAGTACAGAGTCTCACACGCTGGAGATAAAAATGTTTTTTTTTCATACAGTGTTACCATTGCTTGCTTTGAAATCATTTAGTTTTGTCATCAAAAATTCGTTGAAGTGTTACAAAATATGAAATTGATAATAAAACAAATTTCAAATTCAAATTAGGGCTTCCACATGCCCATATTCTATGGAAGATTACGTTATTCAAATTTTGATGGCTCTAGGTACTGCTGTTTTATCACAATGCAAGAAATATACATACATTTATGCAGATTCTTCATTATTTAATTTCTTTAAATATAAGACAAGGCGATAATATATGGTCGGAACAATTTGAAAAGTGATAAAGCCTTTTAAAGTTTTTGACGCAAAAATGCCAAAATGAAATTAATAGTCCTTGAGGGCAAATTGCCCCTTTGGACCAGAAAATCTGAAAGGATTCAGATTTTAACATTGCACCAGTTTGTTAAGAATTTTTATTCTTGCTGAGTTCGCAGTTTACCAATCTACTCTTTGGACTCATTCCTGCTAACACTTGTTTTTAATCCTCTTAACTTCTTTATTAACATTGCTTTCTGCATAATTACACCACATAAAATTCAACACCGAAAACACGAAATTTTTTAAAGCAGCCATTGTTTAGCATTCTTGATAGAGTGCTGAGTGTTGCCATTAATTTTTCTCACAAGTAACCCTTTGACGCACACGATATTTTTTTTTATAATTTTTTAACTAAAAACTCTAGAAATTGAATATTATGATCCTAGAGAAAAATAATATATGATTTTAAAAAATCTACTCTTGCCCATTGTTCTGTGGGTGGTCGTCGCACTGTGAAACCACCGCGCGTCTAGGACATTGAAACTTTCTGATGTAGTAGGAAAAAAAAAAACTTACCATTTTCCGCGAGCGTTTCCAATAAATGATGAAATTTACAGATTTAAAAAAAATGTATGTAAGAATTGCATTATATATAATTTTTTTACATTATTTTACAAAGTAAATCGTCAGAAAAAATTAAAAAATAAACATTTATGTAATTTTCTATAGCAGTGAAAATATAAGTACCTACATAATAAGAACATTTAGATGAATGGATAAAAAAACTTAATAAAATAAGGATAAAAAAGAACTCAACGTTTTTTTTTATTTTTTTTTTATTTTTTTATTTATGTTTTTTTTTTTTTTTTTTTTTTTTTTTTTTGTGTGTGTGTGTGTGTGTGTGACACTGTTCAAAGCATGTTTTGTCTCTTTGGTACATGCACAGACCCACATTGCACGTTTCGCACATACATCTTGTTCTATGAGGTTTCTTCCTTGTGCTACAAAATGTACACTGCCTGGATTTAAATTTCACTGGTATATATCCAGTACAGCGTTATTTAGTTTCTTTTCATCTGGCACATGAAATTTGTGGTTTTTTATGTTAATGGGGGGGGGGGGCTTGGTCTTTTTGGCTTTGTACGGATCGTTCGTTTCTCATTCATACTTATTTTATTTGTATTTGGTCCCAAAATATTCAGAAAATATTTTAAATTTAAATAAAACTTTTATGCAATTTCTATTTTTAATTATAGCAAAGTATATTTACATTAAATTTAAACCACAGGAAATAGTTTATAAAATCACAATACTAGCTTGGGGAGCATGTGTTGTGATGTCAGAGAAAAGTACTTGGAAAAGAAAGACTTTTTACTGGGCAGGTGCATGTATTGTTTAGTAATAAAATAACTCTGTGGTTTCAAAGCCCTTTTTCTATATCCTGGTAAAAATAAACATTCCTATTTGAAAAGCAAGCGAATGCCATTGAGAAGCAAACGCCAGTGGTTTCAAAGCACGACTACCGAGCTTCTAGAGCAGGGGTCGCCAAAGTGGTCTATATAGACCCCTAGGGGTCTATCTGATCCAAAGGGTCTATTGGGACTCGAAGGAAAAACAGCTCTTAATACGCAAATCACATATATCTAACTGCATACATAAAAATTTAAAATATTTTTATAATTGACTTAATATTATATTCTTTATAGAAAATAAAATAATAAATCAGAAAACAATCTGCCCCTTTTTTTCTTATGGGTTTTCGTATGTATACCGTGACGTCACAACTTGACCTTGTGACCAGTTTGTAATTTGCACGACTCATAGTATGTAGGCAGAAGAGCAATTGAGGCTTATCCGTGTCTCTTGCTGGCAAACCCATCAACCAATTAGGAGCCTTTGGCACAGACTTGGCGAGCGACGACACTGCCGTTGGCTTTCTATGCATTAAGTGCGAAGGGAATCTTCAGTACTCCGTTTTCTTTCTTCTTAAGTGTTTGGTTTTAGTTTTTTTCTTTTTTATACGCATTACGTTACGCATTGTGTCGTTGGTTCGCCCTTTGTCTCCATCGCAAACCATACGAGCCTTGCATATGAGTCAGATGCATATGTACGCTTGTCCAATTCTACACTGGATGCTACAAATGCAAATATCATATGCATTTTCAGCTATCTTTGTGAACTGTGAACAGTATTAAATGCTTGTAGTGTCATTATTACTACTATTATATCTACCATTGGATAATGAGTTATTGTTTCTATAAAACTATTCGTTTAGTTTTGATATCAATTTTAATTATTGTTACTTGTGAAAAGGTAAGCTTTAATAATGTGGATTAGTATAATATACCAACTTAATTTTAACTTATTTACAGAACCCTAATTTAAAAATGACAGCTTCAGTATCTAAAAAGAAATGTCGGTATTATTCATTGGATTACTTAAAATTTGGATTTATTTGTTCACCGACAAATGAAAAACTATTCCTATGTGTCTTATATGCGAAAAAACTTTTGGAAATGAATACATGAAACCGTCAAAAATGAAAGATCATCTTGAAAGGCTTCATTCAGATAAAAAAAAAATGAAGAATTAGAATTTTTCAAAAAACTCACATAAAACTCACAAGAAAAATTCACATGTCGACCAACTCTAAAAAGTTTTATGAAACAGTCTACTGAAACTGAAAATGAAGGAGGATTAATTGCTTCGTACAAGATTTCGCTTAATATAGCAAAGAGGGGAAAACCCCACACAATTGCAGTCTTTGCCATTAAGTGCAAATTCTGTAAAACAGCGTATTGACGAAATGGCCGAAGAAATAGAAAACACAGTAGTTTCGAAGCTAAAAAATTGCAAGCTCTCTATACAACTTGATGAATCTGTTTTTGGCGTTTCTGCTATTCTTATGGCGTATGTTAGATATTTCAGTAAAATTAAAGGAGAAGTCATTGATGAATTTTTATTTGCTAAATATCTTGAAACCGATGGGAAGGGAGAGTGACAATTTTTAGATGTTTACAAGAATATTTAAATAAATATGACATTCCGCTTGAAAATATAATAGCAGTAGCCACAGATGGCGCACCTTCTATGGTAGGGCGTTACCGAGGTTTTGCTACATGCCTCAAAGAAAAAGTGCCCGGTATTCGTACTATTCATTGTGTGTTGCATAGACACAACTTAGTAGCAAAATATCTGAGTTCAGAGTTACATGAAGCTTTACAGTTTTGTATTAAATCTATTAATCAAATTAAAGCTCAACCTCTTAAATCAAGATTATTTGCCAAACTTTGTGAGGAAAACAATGAGTTATTTAACCAATTACTTCTGCACACCGAGGTTAGATGGTTGTCTAGAGGTGTATGCTTGCAACGGCTCGTCAATTTATTTGACTCCACGACAGAATTTCTGAACGAAATAAATCCTGTTCTAAGCAATGAACTCCAAAACAATAAGAACCATATTTTTTATTTAGCAGACTTATTTGGAAAATTTAATGACGTTCAAACAAAACTGCAAGGAAAAGATGTAACAATTATCCAAGCTCGGACAATACTGTTAGGCTTCCAAGTAAAATTAAATTTATTTAGATCTTCATTGCTACGTAAGGATTATAAGTATTTTTCAAATCTGCAACAATTAAAAATAAAAGAAGAAGACTTGGAAATATATACAAATCATCTTAAAAAATTAAGCGACAATTTTAAACTGCGCTTTGTTGATTTGGAAAACATCGACATCCCTGATTGGATTATTGCGCCATTAACATCGACATCAACATACAAGATGAGCTTGCTGAACTATTGTCCGATCTTGAAGCAAAAACGCTTATTAAAAATTTGACAATACATTAATTTTGGACTAATATAAATATAAAGCAAAAATATGTGAAACTTTACGAAATGGCTCAGCCATTTATGCCGGCGTTTCCAAGTTCGTATATGGTTGAAGCCGGTTTCAGTCACGTTAATTCAATTTTAACTAAAAACAGAAATAAATTAAATGTGGAGCTTCGAGGGGATTTACGGTTAAAATTGACTAATTTCGAACCCAATATAGCGAACCTTGCCAAGAAACACCAGGCACACTCATCTCATTAAGAAGTAAAAAATCTGTAGCTACTTTACTTACTGTTTCTGATTTATTAAATATTTAGACTAATATATAGTTTTATTTTAATTACCTGAAAATTACCTTTGTGGGGGGTCTATGGAGATTTCGAAAAATTATATAGGGGGCGATGATAAAAAAAGTTGGCCCTGCTTAGAGTGTAACATGGACAATCCTAGGCCTTCGCCCTGAACACATCAATGCCACTATAGATTATATATATAGTTTAAATGATTTTTGCTTTAATAGAGCGAGACTACTTTTGAAATTTAATTTTATATTAATAAAAGGAAGTCATTTTGTCTCATCGAAAACGAAAACGAATTTTAAAAGGCATCCGGTCTGAAGTATTAATACCTAAAACATATATGATTCTACAGTCATTTTGTGTTATTTAGATGTAAAAGATCAGTAATCAATTCATTTTCACTCAAAAATTTCGGAAAAAAGAAAAAAAAAATTCGGAAAATGGTGGTTTCAAGGCGTGACCACCGTGCGTCAAAGGGTTAAACCTTCTCTCCTTTGTTACCAGGTTTCCGGAAACCCATACATTTTCTGAAAGCTTATGTCACAAGGAGAAAAACTGTGAAATCTTAGGGGAAGTGGGACAAATGCCTAGGAGCTATAGCACCCAAAAAGTATCATTAAAGTGTTGGAAACATGACACCAAAAGTAACTAAAGTGCTCGTTTCAGGTATTTTAATGAACTAATAATATGGTAAGAAGGTGGATCTCAGTATAACGGAAGAAACAACTCGTTAAAAAGAAATGATATACATTAGGATGTTGAAAATGTGACCTGTTATTGATTTCAAACAAAATCTATTACAAGAGACAATTAATGTGCAGTTCACCAAATAAACAGCGAGACAGACAGAAAGACAGTTCATAATGGGCACATTTTACAAAAGCGACAGCCTCACACTTTGCACACTCATAATTTGTCAATGAATCAAAGCAGTAATCCACTGGCGCAATCCACATTCCAGGTTTGTCGTCCAAGTATCCACCCTTATAAAAAGCATACTTAATGAAGTTCTTGAAATGAGGAGTGCTGAACTCATATAGGGAAAAAGACTGCAGAGCGAGAATATATCGCGATGCCAAATGTGCTTCTGTGTCTTGATAATGATTGTGTCCGTTATGTAACGAGCAAAAGATTTGCAGTGGCTGAAAAAATGAACATCCAGACACTGGATCTTTCCCATACATCTTTCAGGTACCAGTTCTTTTTTGTAGGACTTTAATATCAGGTACTTTGGAAGCAAACAATGCATGAACATACAAGAAATAGAGACGTCATTACAGGAACATGTCCATCTATATACACTTTAATGATATTTTGTGGGTCCTACAGCTCCTAAATGCTTGTTCCTCTGCCCCTAAGACTTCACAGTTTTTCTTCTTGTGACATAAGTTTTCACAAAATGTATGGATTTCCAGCAAACCAGTATCAAAGGAGAGAACATTAACTTGACAGTCTTTATTCAGATCACCTATCAATGCTCAGCTTTCTTTCTAAGATGACTTACATGACATTCTGTTATTGCTTTTAATATTTTGTCTTTTTAATTTGATTTATTAAACATCACTTTCTTTGCATTTATGCCATACAAAATTCAACAACAAAATTACAAAATATTTAAAAACAGTTATCTTCAGAATTCCTGATAAAGTGTTAAGTGCTGCCTTGCAATTTTATATTCGCTATACGTTTTCTTTAAAAATAAGCCATGGCAATAATATTTAGTAGCAACATCCTTTCATTTGTGTTGCCATACATTTTTTTATCTGCTATATTATTTCTTTAAAAATAATACTTGATGCTAGGCCAATTTCATTTTTTTAATTTTCTTACAATTTTACACTGAGAAAATCCTCAATAGTGAAAATCCTCAATAGTGATTTATTCAGTGGTTTTAAATACAATGAAAATTAAATTATTAATTAATGCACATAGCATTTGTGTGGATAAATTTAGTAATGTACAATATGTTGAAATAAAATAAAATTAAATACAAGAATAAACCACATTATTACTTGAATCTTCATATAAATCTACAAATATCTACAGCAGATTAAGATAATTTAGATCAAATGAAATTTAATGCAACAAAGATCAATAAAATGCAATAAATGTAATAATAATGAAAAAATGTAATCAAGATGAAATAAAATTTAATAAGAAAAATTATTATTATAAAAGTTAAATTAATATTATTAAATCAGTAGAGGGAATGGAATTTGCCTAATTTAAGTTTCATTAATTCAATAAATTTTATTGAATGTTAAATTAATTTAAATTAACATTCAATTAGTAAATTAATTTTAATTTAGCATTCAATAATTTCATTTATTGCTGGGAAACATTTTCTTACATAAAGGCTAAAAATAAAAAACTATGAGATTTAATGATTTAGCAAGAGAGTTGGCAGCTATGTTATGTGCATGGTTTCCAGAACTTGGTGCATTCTGAAAAATTTGGCGATTTCTACCAAGATGGTTGTGAAAATACTTCAGTAAACTTTAAGCATCAAATAAGGAGCAAATATGATTGTTGTGTGGAAAATTCTTCTTTTTCATATCAATTCTCAGTGTTGTTTACATGTGCCCATTATTTTCATATAATTTGCACTGCTAATCATTTTTCTGTTCTACAATACTCTGTCTATTATGCAAATTTCATATCAAATGGTTGCTTCCTTCACAGTTTTAATGCCTAGGAGCATATTTTGCTGTTAAAAGAATTAAATTTAAGAAAAAGAAAAGGATAATTTAAAATTATACCCAAGCACTCCTCCAAGACATCCAGCTACAGAAACACCTTTTAATCCATAATTCAATCTAAAGAGGCCTCCTAATATTGCTAAAAAAATTTAAGTGAATTTTAACAAAAAACTATGATATTGCCAAATAAATAACCCCTAATACTATTGCTTAACTAAAAGTAAAAATATTCAATCACTTTTACATATAATCAAATACACTCACTTCCAAAAGTTAAGCACAGAGAGGAAAATGCTAATTTCCGGAAGCTAATCAGAATTGAAGAGGATGCAATTCGCTGCAGAGGTAGATGGAAGTATGCAAATATGTTAGGTAACAGCCAATCGCGCTTTCATGTCAAGAAATATGCAAAAAAGGCAGTCTTATAAGAAGCCAGCTTTATGAAGGGTTACAGAAGTTGATTGTAAGTGCTGATAGAAGGTGTTTAAAACTTCTGTACAATTTATTTTTAAGACATACATGTTTCTATGACTTCCAGAAGACTAAAGGAAGATTCTGAGTGCTGGCATGCTGTGGGGTGCATTGAAGCAGGATAGTCGATCACAGATGTTGCTCTTTTCTTCGGCGTTCATCATTCTGTAATTTCAAGTTTATGGAAACAATTCCAAACCACACAGACAGTTGTCCGAAGGTCCGTAGCCGGTCGCCCAAGGGTTACAACCCCCCGTGGAAGATTGATATATTACTATTGTAGCCAAGCGGAATCGCAGAGCGACCTCCACACGTGTGACATCTATAGTTACAGCATCCATTGGTAAGGCGATATCTGCAGCTACTGTATGCCGAAGATTACATATGAGTGGACTGTACGCCAGGGTACCTTGAGTTTGTGTTCCTCTATCCGTCCAATCAAGAGGGGCACAATTACTGTAGTGCTGGAAATATGTCAATTGGAATGTGTCTGACTGGGGCAATGTCATGTTTACTGATGAGTCAAGATTTGCTCTGGAGCCAGATGACAAGTGTATAGGGATATGGCATAAAAAATGAACACGCAATCAGTCCCAAAACATCACGCATTCCGAGGTGGAAGCGCATTATGGTGTGGGCGGGACTTCATTAGGATACCGCACCGACCTGCACATCTTTACACGGGGATCTTTGACGGCTCTCCGGTATCAAGATGAAGCCCTAGAACCCATTGTGAGATTGTACGCTGCAGCAGTAGGCCCTACGTTTGTTTTAATGGACGATAACGCATGTCCTTATACAGCTGACATCGTCAATGACTACCTGGAGAGTGAAGGGTTTGCATGTATGGCATGCCAGCATATTCGCCCGATCTTAATCCCATTGAAAATCTTTGGGATGCTTTCGGCCATGCTGTATAATCACGTTTCTCACCTCCAGCCACTCTTTTTAAGCTGGAAACTGCTGTACAAGAAGAATGGTGATTGCTTAATTCTGCGGTGGTTGACCACCTAATTGAAAGCATGGTCACAAGGTGTAAACTTTGTATACAGATAAGGGGGGATCACATACCCTATTAATGTCCTTTTTTTTTTTTCATTTTATGCTGTTTATTTTCACTTTATACATAATTCTGTTTAAGTCTACAGTATGTCATTAACTGATAACTTACAAAAATTTAATATTATTTTCATTTCTGTATATAATTATTGATTTTGTTTTATGCACAAATATATATGCTACTTTCCTGCCGAATTTTGTGTCAATCAAAGCAGTATTTGTTGATTTTTTTGTATTTTACATCTTCGTGCTTAACTTTTGGAAGTGAGTGTAGTTTGATGTTTGGACTCAATACATAACTATTACAATTTTTACATTTACACAGGATTTATTTCACCAAATTTCATTAAAAAAGCACATAAATATGTCCACATCTAAAAAATTCATTCACTTTTTTTAGGTATCACAAATATCAATTTAAACTTTAATAAGAGAGACCTTCTGTGATGATTCCGATGATAATGAATTGACTCAAGCAAAAACTGCAAAATAATCATTTGGAATTATGGCCCCTTAAAAAGAATTATTATACAAGAGAATAAGAATTATTATATTAAAGGGAAAAATTCTATATATTTATCTTTTCTTTTAGTAACACTCATATTTGGGTCACATGTACTCTTTCATTAGCAAATTTAGGTACACTATGGAAAAAAAAAAAAAAAAAAAAGAGAGAGAGAGAGAGAGAGACAGTTCTATATCTCCCATTCTACTCAGCCGGTTGACGAAATTCAAATTGCGTTTTTCATGTTTCGAAAGCATGACTTAAGATATATATTAGATTTATATATAGCATAGTTCTAACATAAGTATTCTGACACAAAATCAGACCTTATTATAAAATGACATGCCAATTTTTTCCATATTTCAATTCTACAACTCAAATTATGCCTAAATACCTAATTTTGTAAAATTTGATGCAAAATTTAAAGAGAAATTCAAAAATTTATCTTGGCGCACTTTTTTCAGTTTTTGCCAAGAATAATTCACTTGGAGAGCTTCTTAATTTATAGTAATCTATTTTCATTTTCTTTTTTTCATTGCAGACAAGCGGGGGGAAAAAATCATCCTTCATACTTTCAATTGATTTTAACAAAGTGCTTAAACCACATTTGGTATTATTATCGCTCAAAAACAAGATACAAAATTTCAAAACTCTCCAATATGTAAATTATTTACATCTTAGAAAATTTTGAATTCATAAAAACCGGTACTATTTCGTTTTTAGTACTATAAAAAATTGCAGCGAAAATGTACGCGCAAAAGCGCCAAATCCAGCAAACGTGCCCATTTAACAGCGCGCCAAATCTAGCGTACGTGCTGATTTCAAATTGTATAAGTTTAGATAGTTCTATATTTCTTATGACACTTGTGATATTAGGCCTTTCTTCATCCTCCACCTCATAGAGAAATAACTCCAACTTTTTGTATTTTGAACATTTATTGCCCGAACACAAAACTAATACTAAACTACAATACTAATAACTGAAATATATAAAGTAATACAAATTAATTTCGGTTTCATTAATGGCTCCCACGAGTCTTCCCTATGACCTCTCTGTCGGTCTCCCTCTTGGAAACTTAACTTTTTCACGCCTTCAGATTGAGAGCCAGCGCGTCTATACATCTTGTTGGTTGGCATCACCCATACATCACACCCCCATCCAAGATTGAAATAGGGTGAAAGCCGACTGAAATATGACAAATTACGGTGATGTCAAACAAAAGAGTTACTTATCTACTAAAGTCTACAAATCAATCAATACTGAAGTTGAAAGATACATAATAGAATACTTATACAGGTTACTTCTACACCTACTACAAGACTTCTTCTGAAACTGTAACATATAAATGATTAAAAATTAGTAATCAAACAATTCTAATGCAATAGAATAATACTTAAAAGTTTCTACGGGACACTTAAAAGTTCTCTATGAGAGCAGCTGAAAAGAAAACACACACAAAAGAAAATAATAATCCTAAGAGTTCATAAATGTCTATAAAAAGTTCTTTCTTTCACACAAGTCACTTAATAGTCTCTAGTCTGGACAACACACCTGCATTGTTATACTTAGCACCTGGGCAATGCGAAATTCTAGTATCATACTTTTGTAATGCTAAAGCCCACGTCTGTAACTTAGAAGAGTGTAATGCGTTCTTTGTGATGAAAGTTAATGGATTGTGATCAGTTATCAATTGCCACATGGGTGATCCAAAAATCCAAGTTTCAAACTTTTTCAGGCTCCAAATAATAGCATAAGCTTCCCTCTCGATAGTTGGCCATGCTTGTTGTGTTTTGGTTAGTTTCTGGCTGGCGTAACTAATCCGGGTACAACTTTCCATTTTTCTGCATTGAGAGTAAGCAGGCTCCAACACCTGTTGAAGATGCATGACATTGAATTGTAAAAGGTAGCCCTGGAACAGGAGTATAAAGACTAGGTGCTTCCATTAGGCATTTCTTTAATTTATTCAATGCTTCGTCGTGTTTTTCTGTCCAGCACAGCTCTTCAGGACTTCTTCTTTTGGTGAGCTTGGTTAATGGATAAGCTGTTTCGGCGTGGAATGTAATCTCTGTAATAATTACATAGGCCTAAAATGCTTTTCAATTGTTTCTTCATTTAACGTCTCGCTAATTTCTAGACAGCCTCCCTTTCTCTGGATCAGTACGAAAGATTGCCGGAACCGATGATATGTCCTAGATACTTAATGTGAGTTTTAGCAAAGGAACATTTCTTGAGATTTACAGAAAACTTTAGTTCTAAAAGTTTTGAAAAAATGGTGTCAAGATGTACTAAATGTTCATTCCAACTATTTGAATAAACTGCTATGTCATCAACATAGGCTCGAGCAAAATCTTTGTATTTAGCAAGGGCTTGGTTCATCACTCTCTGAAATGTTGCAGTGGCATTGCGTACCCCGAAAGGCATGACTTTAAATTGATACTGAGCCCGATGCGTCTTCAAACATGCTAATTCTTGACTTTCTCTTTCTAATGGTATAGCCCAATAACCTTTGAGTAAATCAATGGTGGATATCACTTTGACTTTTCCAATGTGGAATAAGAGCTCTTTAGGATTTTCCATAGTGAAGTTATCTGGTTTCGTTACTGCATTAAGAGATCTAAAATCAACGCAAAGGCGAAGATTACCATCTTTCTTCATAACGCATACGATAGGATACGAAATTTCAGCATCAATTTCTTCAATCAATCCCAATGACAATATTTCTTCGATTTCTTTGTCTACTAGCGGCTTCAATGCTTCTGGAATTCGATAAACATATGGCTTCTTTCTTTCAGTGTCATTTAATCTTATTTTATGTTCTCCTATTTGGGCAATTTTACCTTATTTATAAATAACTTGTCATATTTTCTTACCAAGTTCATCATGTCATTCCTTTTATAATCATCTAAATGGCTTAAGTCTACTTCGCTAAGATGAAAATGATTGGACTTGTCACTCACACTGACTGTGGGATGGACTTCTTCTAGTTCTTCTTCGTTCTCAAATGTTACACCTACTGCCTGTACTTTTGGATTAAATTTTCTAATTTTATTTACGTGTACTCTTCTTCTTATTGTACCATCTGCCAGTTTGACTCTGTAAGAATCTGGATTACAACGAGATACTATTTCTGCAGGTCTGTCCATCTGGCATATAA